GAGAGAGAGAGAGAGAGAGAGAGAGAGAGAGAGAGAGAGAGAGAGAGAGAGAGAGAGAGAGAGAGAGAGAGAGAGAGAGAGAGAAGGGACTAAGTGGCAGTTTGTACCAGAACAGGGAGTGGGACAGATTCATTTGTCGGGGCATCAAGTTTTGTTGATCAGTAAGCATCATGATTGTCTAAGCACAGTTCTCACTTCTTGCAAGGTGCAATGTTCCTCCATCATCATGATGCAATTCTTTTGTTCATCAGTAAGCATCACTGTCCGAGTTTTTTTGTTCATCAGTCGGCCAACCAAATATTTTGCTGCTGACAATGAATCTATCTCCCTCTCATAATCAGTCAGCTCAGCTCAGCCAAGTGTGCACAAGTGTGCCGACTTTGGGAAGGATGGAACTGGAAACCGGTTTAGAATTTCAGTATAAAATTAATGAAAATGAAATTTAATTAATCTGGAAATTAGTAAATTACTAAATTAGTATACGTGAATTGGAGGATGATCACGACCGAATAATCTTCGGTCGTAACATGCTCTTTCATACGACCTCTCACAGGATGAAATCATGACAACAATTGTACCCAAAATGGCTCTAGAATTGTCTCGATTTGGGCAACAAAAAAAACAAATATTTCAGATATTTCAAATTTGATCATATCTCAAATTATTTTCATTTAACGAAATTATTTCACTTGTGCTGAATATTGACAATTCATGACAGCTGAAGATGGTGGAGTAATTTCCACAGGTATTGTCTGTTCTCCCCCTATATCAGAGACCCCTACTCCGACCCAATCCAGCCCCTAGAGACTAGAACTACAACCCCCTAGTGGGACGGGGGTATGGTCACCTCGGCTTAAAGGTTTGAAATGGAATGGATTGAGGCGAGGGTAGGATAAGTAGGCACTGAAAGGGTGTGAGCATATAGAATGGGTTCTGGATTTGTGTCGTATTATCGTTTGTCCGTTTGCTGTGTGGTTTTTGTTTTGTTTGAGATTGGATAGATCGAACACGGACTCTGAGTTTTTTTGGTTGTCGTCGACTTGTCGAGGATTTCGTAGGGTTTTTTTTGTAGGGTTGCGTAGGGGTTCGTAGGATTTTGTAGGAATTCATAGGTTTTGTAGGATTTTATCTCGCACAAGCTCTCAGCGATATAAAAAACGTTCTCAAGGGCGGGAAGCCAGTAGCAGAATGCCCGTAGGTCTTGAACGTAGAACTGAGCTGCGAGAACAAACAGCGGGGAAGAACAGGTAAGCCTGCAAAGAGAGTGGACGACTGGTCGCCGTTTCTCCGTTTGCCTTTTCCGGCGGATTTTTTTGTTTCGTAGGATTTCGTAGGATTGTGTTGGATTTCGTATCTCCCGCAGCCCGCAGCGATAAAAACGTTCTCAAGGGGGCACGCAGTCTGTTGCTGATTGCCCATAGGTTTTGAAAGTAGAACTGAGCTGCTAAAAAAACAGCGGGAAGAACAGTGAAGCCTGCCAAGAGGAGCAGACGAGTGATCTGGGAAAACGAGTGTGAAAAATAAGTTACTCGGGGAAAAGTGTGGATGTACCAACCGGTAGAAAGCCACCAGGGTGACAAGGGCAAATGGGACTTGTTGAAAGAACTGAGCCAGCTGTAGCTAGGAAATGGAAGCTTCCTTTGTGAAGAAACTTTAGTAGGCCGTAGCAGGCGACATCAGATGAAACTCAACTATAAGTAGGGTAGTAGGTAAACCTTAATCATCTCGAAACGCCCCCTGATGAGGTCACAAACTGGCGGCGACCGAAACTACGGTAGTCGGGGATGCCAGCTCGTCGGTCGTGATGACGGAGGTGCCATAGCTAAGCTATGGAATGTGCTTCATTGCTGTATTCTGTGGATTTTTTCGAGATCATTGTCACATACTCCTGCTGCGCAGTGCAGCTATGTGTTGGGCGTTCGTCGGTCTTGATTGACTTTGCTATTTCTATTACTTACACCCCCTAGAGGCTAGAACTACACCCCTTGATCCGTGAGTAATACAATGCTTTTCCAACTTCCAAGACGAGAAAAGGAGTGTATGGGTCAGTGGCACTCAAACCTCGCTCTACCCCCCCCCCTCCTCTTCGGCCCTCCCCTCCCCCCCCCTCTCTCTCCCCCTCTCTCTCTCTCTCCCTCCCCTCCCCTCCCCTCCCCTCCCCCCCCAACCCCCACCAAAACAAGGGTATAGTCTGCATAAAAAATGCCCCAATTAATGATAAATTGACAATACCTGGGCAGCGGGATTTGATCAAAGCTGCTGCCTTTTTGTAGAGCCCTACATTGAATGACTCAAACCCCGAGATAAGTACAATGTTGGCTTGAGCTCTTTTCAAAATGGGACTGCTCTCAATATCTCCAGCCTCGTTATCAATTTCCAAGTCGAGCGGCTCCTGTTCCGTTCATTGGAAGAAACAGACATGCAGACAGAGAATGAAGCAGCCTCAGGGGAAAAAAAAAAATAGTAATAAAAAATTGGCAACTTGCAATATGAAAAAAGAGCTAGAAAGGATAGGCACCTGAGCGAAAACGCAAACGAGGATTTCAAAAAAAAAAAAAAAAAAAAAAAAAAGAGGGGGGGGGGGGGGGGGGGGGGGGGGGGGGGGGGGGGGGACGGGGGGCGCAAAACAAGCAAGGGCAAGTCCATGAGGGGTTCAAAAAAAATAGCCAAGCATTCACAATCCCAGAGCCTTATCAGGCTATTGGCCCTATTCCTATCCATCTTAACGACCTGAGGGCTTCACAAAAAGTTTGCATGGGTGCAGCCCATCCCCTTCCCCACTCAGCAATACCATCCCGGGTAGCACCAAAGCCAGAACGTGCCCGTACCGGATCTACCTTTCCTTTCTTTTCTTTTCTTTTCTTTTCTTTTCTTTTCTTTTCTTTTCTCTTCCTTGCTTTTCTTTTCTTTACTTTTTTTTTTCCCCTGGTAATTCAGAATTACTATAATCTGGTCATCTGATCGTATCTGGATTCGAACTTGGGTCTGTATTTCAACAGTTCAGGGGGCATGTACCAACTGAGCTAGGCCATTTCTGGGTTTCCCTTCTTTTTCTTGGGATTCTTCTTCTCCGAGTTTTCCTCCGTACAGGCTTGTATGCCGGGCACGTGTGTCAGTCTTGCACAATGCCAAGCAAGCATACGAGAGATCCATTTCGGGGGACTCTCACGTATCCATTCCCCTTCACTTCACTTCACTGGTGGACAGATGGGATCTCATTCCCTTCGACTCATCTGGACATTTCTTTCTGCGCTCTACGTCTAAGTTCATTCGCCATTCCAACGTGGGCCTTCTCAGGTCAGGCCAGAGGTTGTCCAGCAAGGTGCGCGTGTCAGTGGACAACGTGCCATTTGGTACCAACACGTGCCATCTGTTCTGTCGCCAAATAGCACGTGTTGGTACAAACGAGCAAAATCGCACGATGGTATGCCCGTAGATGATGACGGATACATTCGCTTCATTGAGTATTACTTCCCAAACGTAAGACAGATTCAGCTTTTTTGATCGAGCAGCCTGGGTGCAGAATGGTCCAGGGAATAAGATTCTTTCTTCTTTCTTTCTCTCTCTCTCTCTCTCTCTCTCTCTCTCTCTCTCTCTCTCTCTCTCTCTCTCTCTCTCTCTC